TATGCTTTAAGTGTAAATTAGAAATATCTTTTAGGTCATGTGGTGTTGATGTCTGAATGTTTTGAAGATTAAAACTGATTTAAATACTCATCAAATGTGAAAGATAAGCATATGTATGCTGATACGTGTGTACAAATGATATATATATGTGTGTGCTTCCCCAAATTGTTAAAGTTTAGAAATTATCTATAAAGTGCTGTTCTAGAACTATTAAATGCTAAGTAGGTGAATTAAAGTGTTAAAAAGCATGTTTATGAATGCTTAATGATCAACGAATCTGCTTGGAAATATTATAATGGTAATTTTGGAGCCAGAATTCCCTATATATATGTCGGGTCTTGTGATAAAGAGGAAAAGGTAGTGGAATATATTTTAAGAGTGCTATTGATGTTACTGAATGCTAAAGGATTATTCTAGATGATCAAATAAGAGTAAAGATGCTGGAATGGTAATTAAGACGTAATTGTTTGTGAATTTGTGAAGTTAGGAGCAGTAAAATGATTTGCAAAGTTAATGATTGACACTGTCAAATGTTAAATAATTATTTTATATGTCGTGAGTCTATGTTTAATCAAAGTTTGGAGGTCAGAAGCTGAAATACTCCTTGTTTTATACTGCCTCTAGTCCTTATATAAGACCCTATTGGCTAATTTGGAAAAATTAAGTTACCAAATTACTTTAAAGTTCATATTTATAGTTTTTCTTCAAACTACTTTCCTTTATAAATTGATATTTAGTCTAATGATATATGTAAGTATTTTAGAAAGATCATGTAATATATATTATAATTAAGCAATTTAGTAACTTCTTTAATTTCCCTGATTTTGTCAATTGGGTCTTGTATTATGGACCCGAGGTAGTGACTATATATGTGATAAAGCTGAAGGCAATGTTGTTAGGCGAACTGTACATTTACTGGTGAAGCTTGAAATTAATTATAAGTTGCTGTTTGGTGTTGCACATTTGTTATTTTTCGCATGAGTTTCCCCCTATATGCTAAAGATGAATCTCAATGCAATAGCTGGAAATGTCTTAATCCGGAGGCAATTTATTATATATGCATAACATGTTTTATATCCTTTTGTCTTAATAATAGAATATAGACACATACACATGACCGGAATAATATTTTTAATTTCTAGTTTTAAATTCATTGTTAATGTTAATACTTTTTAATCAACTTATTATAATTATTATAATGTTATAGGAAAATTTTTGCATTAAAAATGACATATAAGTGGAGGGGGAATCTTATTATAAATTCATCTACTTAAAAATGTTTTCATATTTTGGACTTGGCGCTGCCTAATTTTAATTTTTTACTTAGGGAAAAATGTGTAATTTTTTAGACTTAAAACAGTTGCTTCTACCTTCCAACTCATATATGGAGGGATATTATGAAATTTCTTATTTTTTTAGTTGCTTATTATGATGAGGTGTTTCTTTTAGGTTCTGCCTTTTAAGTAGATTTGTATTCTCTAAAATTTAAACTAAGGAAGATATAATGAGAAAAAAAGCAATAGGCAAAGATATATAAATGTATATTATAGTCAATGAAAGATTCCATTTGAAAAAACTGAACAAAGGATTTTGTTTGTTACAGTAAATTATATTCGTTCAGTTTTTAATGTAAGATCTGATTAACTAATTTGAATAGACTAATGATACTAGTTAAATTAGTTAATATGATATGTTTTTTTATAAAGCACCTTAAGTATCTTTCTTAATTTCCTCTCTTCCTCTTCCATTTAATTATTGTTGGGGGGTATCAATAGAGTTGCTTGGAGAAAAAATTGATAAAATCGAAATTCTTGATCAATAGAGGAACAATATCACCATTTTTGTTCAATAAGATACCAAAGTGGATGATTGACTCATTCCATACTAGAAAGAATCGCAGGAAATCTTACATATAAGACCAATATTAACTGCCCAATTAGGTCTTACATTGAGGACCTGGGAGTATTATAATTCCTAATCTCACATTATGCAATAGTTATTTTGAATAGCTATAAATTTTTTTTAAATTTTTTGACTGTTTTGAATTAATTTCATATTATTGAAAAGGGATGTATTATATTTTATTGAGTTTCTGTCATTAGGTTCTCATCTTGAAATCTTGTATTTATATGTAGGGCGTTCAAGTAAATTGGAAGAGCTAACAATTTAGACAACCCTAATCATTACTGTCAAGAATAGTGTGACAGAAATGGTGAACAAAATTTTGAAATTATTTTCATAGAGGATTAGAGATGTGAATGTTGAGGGAAAGGACATAGATCTACTAGCAGTAGAATATAAGCAAATGAAGGTATTCAAGTTTTTACACAGACAAAAATACCTATATTCGACTGCTAGTTTGCCTATATTCTACTGCTAATAGGACTATGTTTTTTCCCTCAGCATTCACATCTTTAATCCTCGATGGAAATAATTTTTAAATTTTCTCCACTATTTCTATCACACCATTCTTGACAGTATTCATTAGGGACGTGTCAGTTGTTATAGTACCAGACACAGGTGTCGCATTTGACTTTCACTCCATCCGCCAATGCTGTTCACAAAATTTTTGGATTCTATTCGTTTATGGTACACTTATTCTCCTTCATTTCCACCATTTACTTTCTGTGTATGGCTGCTTCTCCTTCCCAATTTGCTCTTAGAGATACATTCCTTTCAAGCTTTACCTTGCTATGTCCTTTATATATGTTCGTCTCCATTGTTTATTTGGGGATCTCTTCTCGTCCTGGTGATTTAATTGCACAACACTTAACAGGATTATATTTTGTGGTCATTAGGCATCATCCTTTTGGTTTTCACATAGCTCTCCACATTCATTGGTCCCACATTTTCTGCCATTAGTTGAAATTCACATGCAAAACAGCACTGTTAAAAAGTTTTTGGATGAAAATAAGTGCTTATATCCTAATACACACACATTCTCTGATTGTGTTAGATTTGAGTACTTTGGAGCCCAATTAAGGGCAGTTTTGCCCAAAGTGTATTTTACATCCACACGGACTCAAACTTGAGACTTTGTGGTTAAAGAGTCAAAACAAAGGATCGATTACTAATATATATATCATTGCATTTCCCATATTTACTGTTGAAGTTTGAAATTAACTATAAGCTGCTGTTTGGTGTTTCACATTCATTATTTTTCCTATGAGCAGCTTGTAATTTTGTTTTTTTTCCTATATGCTAAAGATGAATCTCAATGTAATAGCCAGAAATGTCTCAAGAAAATTGGAAATATGGTGGAGAATCTTTTTCCTAAGGCAATTTGGGTTCTGTTTTTTAAATAGATTTGTATTCTCTAAAATTAATAAATAAATTTTTCCACACACATGTATCTTTTTGCCTGTTACATTTGTTCTCATTATGTGTGTGTGTGTGTGTGTGTGTGTGTGTGTGTGTGTGTGTGTGTGAAACTTGCAAATTTTCTAATTTTGGAGGAAAAAGATTTTATGCGTGAAAGGCAATATATTTATTTGATATATATGTGTTTCAATTTTAGGTGTTCATTGATTTTTTTTTGAACATTTTATTTTGTAACATTATTTAAACACTTCTTATGTTGACGAAAGATTCCATTCAAAAAAACTATAGAGGATATTTAAATGATTTTATTCGTTACAGTAAATTGTAATAATAATTCCTAATCTCACATCATGCAATAGTTATTTTGAATAGCTTAATTTCATATTTTTGAAAAGGGATGTATTATATTTCATTGAGTTTTTCTCATTAGGCTCTTATCTTGAAATGCTGCACCCCTGTTGGGTGTTCAAGTAAATTGGAAGAGCTAACAGTTACGATACCCCTGATGATTACGGGCAAGAATGTGTAAGAATGGTGTGACAGAAATAGTGGAGAAAATTTTGGAATTATTTTTGTTAAGGATTAGATTATTAGAAATGTGAATGCTAAGGAAACAATCTAGTCATACTAAAAGTAGAATATAGGCAAACCAAAGTATTCAAGCTTTTGCGCAAATGAAATGGCGACCTGAGTTTATTATTTCTGTTTGTGCAAAAACTGAATCCCTGTTTGCCTAAGTTCTAGTGCTGGTAGCATTTACATCTTTTATTCTCAATGGAACTAATTTCAAATTTTTTTTTTTTTCACCGTTTCTGTCACACCATTCTTGACAATAATTATTAGGGGTGTTTCAATTGTTATTGTACCAGGGGCTGGTGTTGCTATTGACTCCCACTCTATCCACCATGCAAAATGTTTTGATTCTGTTCATTTGCAGTCCGCTTCTCCCTCATTTCCACCATTTGCTTTCTGTCTATAGCTGCTTCTCCTTCCCAGTTTGCTCACTCTTGGGAGATACATTCCTTTCAAACTTTGCTTCGGTATGATCTTCATATATGTGATATGTCCGTCTCTGTCTCCATTGTTTATTTGTGGATTTCTTCTTGTGCTGGTGATTTATTCATGCTCGATGACTACAGTCAAGAATTGCACAACACTCGGGTTATATTTTGTGGTAATTGGGCATCATCCTTTAGGTTGTCACACAACTCCCCACATTCATTGGTCCCACATCGTTCGCCATTAGTGAACTTCACATGCAAAACACCAATATTAAAAGGCTTTGGGATGAAACTAAGTATTTATATGCTAACACACAATCTTATATTTGAGTATTTTCGAACCCAGACTCAAACTTAGAACCTCATGCTGCAAGAACCAAATCCTTTCCCATTTGGATAAATCCTTGTTGATTATTAATATATATTATTGCATTTCCTATATTTAGTGTGACCTTAGATTGTACATAGCTTTCTTTTGTGATGACTTCCGTTGGGATATCCTATTACTGAAATAAAACTTCACGGCAAAAATAAACTTGACATGTGAAAGCCAGCTGCAGCATGGCGCTGCCTCCTTGTCTCCTCTGCTTCATTGCCTCATTCATGTTAAGCCTGCATGAATGACTTTTGCATATGCCGCCAAAAATATATGCACACAACATAAACTCAACACGATGCATGGAAGTAAAGACAAATCAACAAGCTAAGTATATACTACTCCTGCGTGCATGGATAAAGCTGGGCGTCCGGTACCAGGGAGTGAAGGTGGCCATGGGGCAAGTTTGCGAGTCGCGATGGAGATTCAGGGGTAGACAATCCAAGGGCAGAGTGTGGTTGGGTACTTTTGACGCAGTGGAGGAAACAGCCAGGGCTTATGACGAGGCCCAAGCTGCTTGCTGCATGAGAGGCTCATTCGCATTTCTCAGCTTCCCAAATGAATATCACCCTGGTTCTAACATTGCAACGTCATCTTCTTCAGCTCCTTTGAGGAGCCGCCATGAAGTGCTCAAGTACTTGGATGATAAACTCTTGGAGGAGCTTCTGGACTGAGGAGAAAAAGAATAAGGGGAAGTGATGAATCTTTCTGGGGAATTATTATCAAGTACCCTGCAGTTGTATATAATGTGTCAGTGAACATGTTCTCACTTATAATAAATAATTTTTTTGGGTGCAATTCTCTCTTTAAAATATTTTCTTTGTAACAATGAGCATCTCAAAAACTTATGACCCTAACTATTACTAGAAAAATAATCTTGGGTATTGGATGCTCTAAAAACTATTTTAGTATATTGAGTGCTACTAGAAAAATACTTTGCAGGGAAGATCCTGTGTTGAACAAAATAACTCGTGGTCTGATCTAGTCTTGCCTATTTTCAATCTAAGGTTGGGCTAGATCAAATTTGGTTCCCTAGACTGTTTGGGCTGGTTTTGGGAGTTTAAAATCTTGATTTGCTTTTTTTCCTTCATGAAAGGTTATATTTCAACTTGATAAATACAATTAAGATAGTAAAAATATCTGTAATAATATAAACTCATCCTAAAACATTAAAACTTAGTAATAAATTCATAAGAATATCTAAATAGTATATAACAATTGTAAGAAGCACTATCTAAATTACAAAATATTGAAAAGAAATTCACCTAAAAGCAGATTGGACTAGACCTAACGGTCTAATAACTAGGTTGATAACTTAGTCCAATTCAATTAGCCAATCTGGTTTGATTTGGTCCGAGTTCATTAAAAGGCTTATTGGGATTGGACTGAACTACATAATCTCATCAGGTCAAAAAACAAAAAAAAACAACTACACAATCTCACAGTAGACCAGATGGGATGGGATTGCTAGGTTTTTACACACCCCTACTCACAAATTGTGGCATAATCATTTGCATATCAATGTTTTAATGCTCTTCCATGGCTCCATATCAGCTACGCACACAGTTTACTGTTCCAAAGGGATTTGCCGGCTCATGCTAAGCATTTTGAAACTTGGGATGGCTTACAATTAGCTTGCAATATTTTATGGGGCTTCGTGTACGCCGACATCAAGTGCTCAGATAGTTGTGGGGATATGGAATTTGAAATTCAAAACGAGTGGGCTTTGCTAATTACCCGCCAATTCAAGGCCTATCCAACTTGATGCCACACTTAAAATCATCCATTCGGTTTTCATCCACTTCTTCTGCCGCCACACGTGCAGTTGAGATGTTGTAATACTATATCCTCCCACTGCTGTTATTGTCATATTTAATTTAATTAATTTTTTTTTGGTGAAAAAAAGTTTAGGTGAGTTGGGTCCCGGGAGCTCACCAAAGCCAGGGCATGCCTCCAGGCTCAAAGAACGCTTACAGAGGTACTTACAGATCGCCCACCAACAAGGTCCTCACATCTTTAATTTAATTAATTTATTGCAACAATGATATCATCATAATAACAGGAACTGTATAAAGATGCAGGGGGTAGGACTTATCCATCCCATTCCATGGGTGGAAGGCGTCATTTGGCGTTCCAGGTGTACTGTGTTGATGCATAGCTTCATCCACTGCTATGATGGTTCAAGGAGTGGTGAATCTATTAAAGAGACGAAGGTGGTCATTATGTTATGATGCACGGCTTCATGTTTGGTTTTGTTGATCATCTTGCGTTTTTCATTATGTTTTCCATTATTTCATTATACATTGTGTTAAATAATTCCAGGAAGAATTCGAAGCCGGGCAAGTTCATATTGCGATGGAAGCCGCGTCTTTGTCATTACTGATGAACCATACATGGAGCAAGCCATCAGGAGGGCAAGTTGGAGTTAGGGTTATACCATTTTTTTTCCCTTCCAGTTGTTTTTTTGATGGAAACGGAATTGTTCTTCCATAGACTTCATTTTTCCCAACACATCTCATCCGCATACATATGTTAGACCATTCTATATTAAACATCTTCTGTATATATATTGCTATCTACTTATAAATTTAATGCATATTTCGTATTTATCTGATCATGTAATCATTTAATACCTTTTTTTATTTATTTCGTATTTATAAGAGCGAAGGGTCATACCATTTGTTTTTTTAGATTATAGATCGTAGATATAGATATTATAGCATATTGGGCTTCATATTGCATGGGTTGTTTATATTTTTCCTGATATGGCCAAGTTACGCTTAACATCCCCTATTTATTTGTTTTAAGATTTATTATCCATTATGGTTTAAAATTTTATTTAACAAAATAAAATGATTTAAAAATATTGTTGAAAAATATATAATAAATTTTTATTTCATAAAATAAAATTATAAATAATAAAATTTAAAATAAAGAAAATAATCATAGAAAGAAATATGTGAAGAGGAAATACTTTCATCAAATAATTAGTTTAGATATGTACGTGGAATAAAAATAATATTGATGCCACTGTTTTTATTTTAAAAAAATATTATATTATTTTTATAATAAGATTTTAAATAAACAAACAAAATCCTAGCCTAAATCCATCTCCTATAAATTTTTCTTTCTTCTCTACGCACTCCTTGCTCTTAGGGGGGTGTTGGGATGAAACCAAACCATAGTTTGGAGAATAGCTTCTAAAAAATAGATTCTGAGGAGAATAAATTTTGTGAAAAAATGATTCTGAGAAGTGAGAGTGTTTGGATAGTTGTTATTAGAAGTACATTTTATATATACAGATTACTAAAAAAGACATAAATTAATATGATAATTAAAGCGAGAAAGTTATCTCCTAGATTTCTTGGACCCTTTGAAATTGTGAGGGTGACCATGTGTTTTTGAGGGTCACGCCTACTACTGGTATTGGGAGGTCCATTAAAGCGAGAAAGTTATCTCCTAGATTTCTTGGACCCTTTGAAATTCTGGAGAGAATTGGAGAAGTAGCCTATCGAGTTGCTTTGCCACCGCACCTGTCCAACGTACATGATGTGTTCCATGTGTCCCAACTAAAGAAGTACCACCCTGATCCGTCTCACATCTTAGAGCCTGAGGAGGTGGAGCTGGATGACAATCTAACTTACCAGGCTGAACCGGAAAGGATCCTTGATGTGAAGGACAAGCAGTTGAAGAATAAGACCATTCGATTGGTGAAAGTCTTCTGGAAGGGCATGAGTCCTGGTGATGCCACCTGGGAGACAGAGGAAAGGATGCGACGTGATTACCCTCGTTTGTCTTCTTAGTAAGTGTTTTGTGTTTGTTTGTGTGGTGTTTTGTGTGATTGCTTGAATTTTGGGGACAAAATTTCTTAGTTGGGGAGAATTGTAATATCCTGAGTTTTGTCGGGTTTTAATAGCCTCTTTTGGTTGATTTTAAGGATAGATTAGCGATTTAATCTTGATCTTGGTGTTTGGGTTGGATTTGAGGTATGTTGGAGGAATAGGTGAACGTACCCCTCTCAGGATATGTTCGCCGTGGCGCACCGGGAGTTCCAGGTAGGGGTTGTCTTTCGGGTAGGTTTGGCCGCGGCAAAGTTGTTTAGGTGAGCAGGGTTTCCCTCTCGGAAAGGTTTCGCTGCAGCGAAGGTAGGGGTATGCCGCGGTGAATGTTTTCTGGGCGAGCGAGAGTTTCCTCTCGGGAAGCTTGCGTCGCGGCGAAGTGGGGTTTTCAGGCGAGTAATCCCTCTCGGGATTAGTTCACCGCGGCGAAGATATGGGTGCGAAAATTAGAAAATCTGAAGGAGGAGAGAGGAGCTCTGCTAGGGTTTCAGTGTTGAGGCTTGGGAAAGACATTTCTAAGGATCCATTACCTCAAGTAAGTGATTTTAACCTCTAATCTACTTTCTTTCTTGGAATTTCTAAGGATTTTTGCTGGAACCCTAGGATTTTCTAGGTTGTGATGGAACTGAGGTTTTTGACCGATTGTTTTGAGTTTAATTAATTGCTTTAGGTTAGTCTAAGTATTTAATCGGTGTAGTTTTCTTGGATTTAAAGAATCTTGAATTTTTGGAGTTAGGGTTTATGGAAATGGGAGGTTTGTGATTGAGGTTGACAATGTAGAGGTTGATTCTGAGTTTTGTGATTTGGGTTATGTTAAGGAGGGTTAAATTGGATGTTTAATCGGTTTAGATTGTTGTTAGAACTTCAATTGTTCAAAATAGATGTTTGGGTGTAGAATTCCTATAGTGGGTCCTTGAGGTTATGAATTTTAATTGATGTTTGGAAAGGAATTAAGGTTTTAATGGATTGGTATGACCATGGAGTGTTGCCTTGATAGTTACACCCTTTGAGTTGGGTAGAGTTTTGATGGGAGATAGGAATTTTGTGTCCCCAAGTGTTGTTTTGGCCACATTATTAGTTTGAAAGCTAATACATGGTGGTTGTGTGTTTGTGTGCTTGTGTAGACTGGTTGTGAGTCTTGGTGGTGCACGGGGCCACATTGTTGGTTTGTTATTCCTTGCTCAGGCGAGAGGTAACCACTTTCCAATCCTTAGTACTTGCTTCTGTGGTATTGTGAGTAGATTTATGTTTTGTGCTCTGAGTAACAATTATATTCAAATTGCATGTTGTATATGTAAAAAGGAAAACCGTCTTGTGGGGTTTTGATTGATGATGAATGAATCTTGAAATTGTGAAAGATATGCCACTGAATGAAGTTATTTATGAAATGTTCAATTACTATTTGATTATGGTTGAGCATGATGCATGAAGTGGGAATTGGTGAGAGTTTTTGATAGTTACTACCATGTGGTAAGGCCTCCATTAATGCATGATGGTTGGCTCAGTACGTCCCCCATAGTGAGGGATAGGCCTTTTGGCTCCCTACGTCCCCCAGAGTGAGGGATAGGCCGGGTTCGGCTTATGAAAATCCCCCAAAGTGAGGGATATGGTTGATGGGAATTGCATCATCGCACTTGCATAACTTGTTGTGGCTATCTTGTTATCATATTACTTGTGAACTGTCCCACTTGACACCTCACAAGCACCTATTTAGTAGTACCTAGAATTGGAAAGGTTGGTTACTGGGACTTTGTCTCACCCCGTGGTTTACAATGTTTTCAGGTGAAGGTTCCGGGCGTGGGCCATCGGGAAGAGACGCAGAGGCTTGAGCTTGGTTAGCTTTAGGCCTCTAGCCTTTGTATATGTATGGCTAGTATATATTGCCACATTTAGGACTGCTTTTTGAAATATTTGATTACCCGGCCTTGTTGTAAACTGGAGAGAATGTATCTCCTTATTTTGGTTGGTCGGAGGCCACTGCTAGTGTCTTATGAAACTCTGGATTATTTTGTTGGGAATCATTTAGATGGGCTGATGTGATGTCTGTTGTTATCCGGGCCGGAGGCTCGGAGGCCCAGTAGATGTAAATGAATGATTTCAGTTGCATGCAACGGACTTTGAGTAGAACCGAGTTTAAATGTTAATTCAAAATTATGCAAATTTCTTCCTACTATGGTAGTTCATCTAACAGATTTCCTTTTCTACCATAGTAGTGATTTTGTGATGAGTTATAATGTTTTGAGGTTAAGGGTTTTACATTATGTTATAAAAGCATATGATAATTTTATTCCCAGTCATCATTAAATATTATATATATAATAGACGGGTTTTGGAGGGTAGCTTTAGGATTACGAGTAACTTTCAGATGGCTTTTGAATAAGTTTTGAGTTATATATTGATAGATACTTGCAATTGTGATTTTATAGACTCTCTTTGAAAGCTTTGGAGTAACAATTGTGTTTACCTTAGGTTCAGGAGTAATAGGTAACTTTGAAATTTCTTTCATATACATATTAATTGTTTATGGATGTTATTATTGTTAGATACCTTATAAATTAATTATTTTAGTATGAAATGTATATATGTGTTATATATAATAATAAATAGAGTTTTAAAAAATATTCCTATTTCACTCATGACTTATGCTATTAATTAATATTGGTAATAACTATCTTCATAGTTATAATGATTGATTTATAATGAATTGTATTGTTGATGATCTGTATTGGATTTTATTCCTTTGAGATTAATAGTATATTTGTTGATATTTGTTGGTATAGTCTGTTATAACATTATTGTCATGGCATATGCATTTTGTGATGGGTTGAGGTCAAAAGGAGATTTGTATGCTATTTAATTACCTTGTGATATGCTATCACTAAGTACATAGTGAATGACACTTTTCAAGGTCCCTTCTTTTATGTCGTCTTTTGCCTAGGATTATATTACATTAGAATTGTGGAATATGTGACATCTCCTTAGTTTTTTTTTTAAGAAGGGAAGCCATAGTTCAAACTTGAGCTTTATATCTTTGGCTTGGCATATCTCAAGTATTGGTGAGTTTTAGACAATCTAGTAAGTGGATTAATTTTGGTTGGACTATGTGTTAGCCTATAGCTTCAAGTAGAAGAATGAGGATGAGCAGTGATATGGGGTAGGCTACATAATACACTTATTGTTGCAAAATATGAATTGATTATGTTGTTGATTTAATGATAGAATTTTGGTACACTTTATGGCACTTGATGTACATAAATATATACAAATATATATATAGTTTTAATAAAATATATATGTGTTTTTGGTTTGTATATGTTAGGGATTTCAATTGTTATTAAGACGTTAAATCTTATCCCTTTTGTTAACTTCTACAGGTGATAGACCTGATAGGACTCAAGGAAAGACACCAATGGAGTGAGCCACAAAGGCTCTTTTGTACTTCTTGAGCACATGTTATGTTATTATTTACTATGATCCTAAGACCTCATTATTTTATTTTATTAAGACACTCCAAGGATTTGCTTTAAAACCATGACATATTTTGTTGTTTAGAGATACACATGCTTTTTGTGCTTGTTTTGGACATTAAAAATAGCTATTTATGAAGTGATTTTGTTAAATATATGGATTATATTTTTGAGGTGTTACATTATGGGATGAAATTGGGCAGGTTACTATTTATGGATTAAATGTTATAGGAGTTCGTAATTAGTTGTTAATCAAGTGATATTTGTCTATCTGATACCATCTACCAATAAACTTGAAACCCTAAACAAGATAGTGATATTTGTCTATCTGATACCTAGTGTTCATCACGGAGCTATAATCAAAGCTAAAAGGAAAGCACAAATATTGAAGTAAACCATGATATTTTTGAGGTGTTGCATGCAATTGCCTATTTTTGTTCCAACCCAAGGTTTTGGTAGAGATAACAATATAGATCAGTTCATTAGGTTCATATTGTACCTGATTGATGCCCTTATTTGTAAAAGCTGTATTTTTCACTGACCAAAGGTTTTCTAGTTCCATACAGAGGAACATTTTGTCTAGCAAAAGTTGATTAATGTGCTCCACGAGGGCATTTATGCCAACCTTCACGCGTTTAGGCACCTTGCTGTCGTGCTATTTGTAGTATCCACATCCGTCCTACATATTTAGATTGGTGATCAGAACCTAGAGGTGTTGGATCATTACAAATGAAATGAATGCACCTCAAAGTAGTTCGAACATCCATAGAATCATTTCTCTAGGTTTCTTTTTGTCCATGATGCCTAACGAGGGGCAAGAAGACCATAATGCCAAGAACTTTGAGGATCTTCATACTAATACTTTGTACCTTCCCCTAGCACTAGCCTTCGGAGGCAAGTGGTCAATGGTGGTGATCTCTGAGAATGTTCCTTGATGATAGTATTCAATAAAGTTCCTATGTATTTAGGTTTCCACTTAGCTTAAAGGATGGGTATAAGTAAGGACCTTTTATATTAACTATCAGTATATATTACCTATTTGTCTTGTTTAAGCCCATATGTTATGCGTAAAGGCAGTGCATGTTGTGACATCTTGGTTTTAAATCAAGAATTTAAGAGTGATTAAGCCTGACTGTAATTGGATCTTGAAGTGATAATGGTTGTTTAAGGCGAAGAAGGAAAAAGGGATAAGCTAGAGGTTACTTTGAGACAGTTTTGTAGCTTTTTGTGTTTTTTCCGATAGCAAGAGGAGAGGTTTGTTACGGCAAATGAAATAGAAGGGGGAAGAAAGATGCTCTTTATGTTCTTCAATGCGGTGACGTTCATGGTGAATATCACAAAGGAGAGATCTGATTGCTTTTATGAAGTTCACTGTAGAGAAATGAGAGAGCTTTACTAGGGCTTGTGATTTTTGGTCTTGGGAAGTGTTTTTGAGCTTCCAAAGCTTCTAGTAAGTGATTCTAACTTGTTTTTTTAAAATCTTTTTCTTTTATTTTT